ACTCCATCTGGCGCACAGTTCCCTCAATCTCTCGCACCGGTGTGCTCCGAGCTGTGTCTTCTTCAGAGCTCTGGGTTCCTGAGCGAAGAATACCTCTCGCCGGGGGCGGGCCACGCGCTGGTGAGGGACCTCTGGCTGGCGAACGTGCAGGTGAGTTGTTGTAGGAGTTGCTGTACGAGCTGTCGTAGCCACGGTCCTCAGGGCGCTGGGGTGTGTGACCAAGCAGATGAGGGTCCGAAGAGTTGCGTGCATGGTTTGCTTTGTTCATGATACCAGCCAATGCAGGAGGCGCACGAGAAGTCGTGACAGGTGTACTCTCTGAGCGGTTGGGTGCGCCCAGTGACATGGATCGAGAAGACCGGTTTGAAATGGCATCAGATGCAAAGCCGACTCTAGGCTTGGCCGGCACAGGGCTGGAGGTGCCATTGCCGAAGCTGAGGCGGTTGCTCTTCTTGCTTCCACTTCTTTGACGCGTGGCTTGGGACTCATCCATTGCATTCATTCGCTTACCAGTGAGCTCCTTGAGCTTCTTTCTCCAATCACGTTCCGACCAGCTTGAGCTGCCTTCTTCCAAGATCAATCCAGTAACGTCAAGAATCTCGAGGTAACCGTATCTTCGGTGCTTTGGCATGGCAAACATGAGTGATCTCGGGTCGAGGACACTGGCTACTAATCTGCCGGGGCGGCCGTAGAGACAAAAGGTATCCCAGGTAGGGAAGAGGAAGCGCAGCAGCATCTCAAAGCCGCTGACGGCAGGGTGAGTTTCGGGCATGATGAAGACGAAACCCTCGGTGGACGACGGCGGGTCAGAGTGGATGGTGATGTTTCCCTCGATCTTAAGGAGCGTTGATGCATCAATCAGCGACTTGGCCTGCGGGTAGATGGCGTAGGAAGAGTAGGCATCGGTAATGGTGGCAATGGGGCGAGCCTTCTTTTGCTTCTTGCCGTCCTTCTTGGTATCGTAGAACTTGATGTCTCCCTTGAGAATCGGCGTGGAACGATCGTAAGGCGACTTTTTGCGCATCTCCTTCTGGGCCCTTGCATACTCCTTCTCGTCGGGGGGAGAAATGACACACCAGCACCGTCTCCAGGGGACTCCGGCGCCGAATCGTACACGCACCCATTCCTCGGTCTTGAACTTTTGTCTATCCATGATGAGGTTGATGTTGTTGAGAGACTTGCCCTTGCCGGCGATCAAGGCACCGGTGTACGCCTCCTGCAGGGTCGAGTGCTCGTACATAGCGAGCCTGATGCCAGCAGTCCATTGTATTAGTGAATGGTGCGAGTTGAAGTGCAGCAGATAACGGTTCCTGCCGGCAGTTGAGACGCTGAGGATATTCTGCAGCGGCTGTTCGTCATTCGATCGTGTTGGTAGGGATTCGATCTATACGCCAAGGACATGGTAAATTAGCACTCGTTCCATCCCCCGCACCGTCGTACCTGCCAATGCTGCCAAATCTGGCTGGGGCATGGCAGTCGGGGCTCGACATACCATTTTGATCGAAGCGTCAGTCAAGTTGATGAATTTGGGGAGGATCTCGCCGTCCTCGCCAGCGGCATCGAGCTCTGCGGCGTCCCATAGTGACAAGACGGTTCCGACAAGCTGAGCGAAGCACTCAGTCCAGGTGCGGTCGGGATTGGGCTTGCCCTCTGTAAATTTGGTCAGTGATCGGGTCCGAGTGTTATGCGCGTCGCCACCACCAGCTAAGGTAGCTGCAGGCGCAGAGGTAAAATAAAAAGCACTAGGAAAAAATAAAATAAAACTCACGTGTGTTTTGGTCGTCCAGCTTTAGGAAGTATCCCTCCTGGTACAGCTTGTTCGCATGGCTGTTCAGGAAAGTGAAGATGGGCTGAAGCTCGGGAATGGTATCTTCGTTGATATCCATGAGGGGCGGCTGGTATGGCATTACCATCGAAAGTGGGCGGGAGGAGCTGCGTTGGCGGCCAGTGACGGATCTGGGGCTATTTACGGGCGAGCTGTTGGCAGTTCCGTTGGCGGGCGATGACGCATATTCGGATGGTGGACGCGCGGGCGAAGTAGGGGTTGCGGGGCGCTGGCCGAAACTGGCGGGCGGTTCTGGAAAGGGTTCTGTTTTTTGGGATTGAGATTGTTGACGTTGATGTTGTGTTGTTGGTGGATTTGAAGTCGGGTGTGACTTGAGGTTGTATGGAGGAAAAGGTGTCGCCGCGTCGGGGGGAGGTGACGAATTGGGAGTTGGCTGGTTTGTCTTGCTGCCGTCCCTCGAAGTGGCAGAAAATTGGGACATGAATGAGAGGACTGTGGTGCCCATGGAAGCGGATTTGGTCAGCATGGTTGCGCGCGTGTCTCTCTTCTCTCTGTGTCTCCTTCCAAATCCACACAGCTACACCTCAGTGATACCAAATACAGGCAATTAAAAAAATCAGAGCCACTGGGTCATAAAAAAGTAACAATATCGCCCCGGTACCCGACTAATTGGCCAGGACCATCAACTGGCCGGGGGTGAGCGGATGTGAGGGGGATTGCGAAGGGAGGAGCGCAAGGGGAAGAGAGGGGTCCCCGGTGGACGAGCGAGAAGGACGACGGATGGTGAGGATGGCCGAGCAGGGCGATACTGGGGCGGACGGGTAGCGGCAGGGAAGACAGAGGCAGGGAAGACAGAGGCAGGAGTACAGTGTTAAATGGCGAGGACGATGGTTCAGGATTCTGGTGATGCAAAGCCATCCAGGACCAGCGGAGGACAGAAAACAAGGCCGGGCAAGGGTATTTGATGTAAATGCCGCCAAACAACAGCATTGCGCAGTAAAAGGGATATTGGGCATATTAGGATTGGGATGCACGCCAGCAACACGCGCCAGCGCGCAACCAAAAAAGCCTCCTACGCATGATGGTCCGGTGCGAGCCTGCAAGGACTGGGCTGGGCTGGGAAACTTGGGAAGAAGGGGGGGGGGGTGTGCCAACTGCAGCAACTTGCGCTAAGAAGGCTAACAAGATGGGAACTTGGGAAGACTATGCGACAAGAGCTGGAAGAAGGGAATGTGGGAGCACGAACCTCGATTACGGCCCATCTTTGCGGCTTTGCTTGACGCCTTGCTCGACGTTTTGCCAAGCCAGCAACCATGCAACCAAATTACTGAGAGACAACCACTTGCGCCGTGCGCGACCAAGATTGGTCTTGGATGAGCAGGACAAGCCTACAAGGCCCCCTCTAGCCCGTCGAGACGAGGATGCGAGGAATGGACAGAGATGCGATCGCGCGGGAAGGGATTCGGGGATTCGAGGGTTTCGGAATCGACAGCTTCGGCCCTGGGACTAGCGCAATTCCTCTGAATGCTCGGTAGGGGGGGACGTTACGAATCGGGGTGAGTGAGAGACCGAAGGGTCGTTCGTTGGATTCGTGGATCTCTCCGGCTTTAAGATTATCGTGTGGTGGTAGTGGATGCGATGCGATGTAATGGCCGGACGAGGTGTGCGCAGTACGCAATACGCGGTGCTGTATCCGTACGATTACGGGTGACTCGGCGGCCGGGAGGGAGGTTGCGCGGTCTGTAAGGTAATCTTAAGATCCGACTGACCGACGAAGCACACACTTCTTTGCGCGGCGAGCACAAAAAAGGTGGAATTAATATGGATGATGGAACGAATAAAGGGACCCAGGCGAACAAGTAACGAAGTTTCGGGACGGGCAGCGATTAGGATTCAGCCATGGGTATCTTCGGGTTCCGTCTGTCTGTGTGTATGTACGTGTCTCAGCGCTGTTGGTGTTAGAGGGAGGTTAAGTGTAGTCGATGAAGAGAGAGATTCGAGATGACACGAGACGAATCGAAGAGCAGGACAACCAGAAAATCGGAAACCAGGAAAACAGAAAGAGGGAAGAAAGTCTGAAAAAGGTAGGAGAATCCCCGAGATGATGTATGAATCCGTACCCGAGCGAGTATGGAGTGAGTGTCAAGGTAAGGTAGGTAAGGTAGGTATGGATGGATGGAGAGAGCATGGAGAGCATGGAAACGACGGGAACGTGTCAAAAAAGACCCCCAAGCACGAGGCGTACCTTACCTTACTCTGAGAGGTACTCTGAGAGGTGTACCAAGTACGGGAGTACCTCCGGGAGTACGGGGAGTGAGTGAGGTACCTACGTACGGAGGCGTATTATGCAACAAGAATTAGCAACACCGCCTACTTCTGCGACCTGCTGTTTCCTCACTCTTCTCTCGTACCCAGTCACCGTCACCGTCACGCAGCTCAGTCGGCTGCACTGCAGCAAGGTAGCAGCAGTTTGGCAGGTGGTCCCAGACTCCCAGGTCAAGGTCCCGGTCCAGCAGAAACCAGACCAGAAAGATCAGCTCAAAGGTTAGGCAACATGAGGCACAAGCACAGGCACAGCAAGGCAAAGGCACGGCCACAGGCGACCCAGAGAAGTCTCCAACAGGTTCAAGACTCCCCCATTCGAGCCAGGTTCAGCGGGCAGATCAAGCTGCGGTGAATTGTACTTTGTAACTTTCCTGTGAATAAAAGCCCCGGAACATCTGAGTAAACCGTGTGTATCCGTAGTAGAAAGAGTGCCGCAGCGGTAACAGGGCTAGGCCCGTCCCAAACCAATCCACGACCAGCAATACACCAAGGCCCTTCCCCCGGGAACAAGAGCCCGAACGACGTAATGGCGTTGGGTATGCCGGGGGGTCTGCTGTGCTGTCTACCTTGCTGCCGTCCTTGCGTACGCACAGGCTCTGGCGGTCGCTCGGGCTGGGCTGGGCGGCCGTGATCTCGACGACGACGACGATGATGATGTTGATGACTCTGTCTCTCCCGCTACTCTTTCGGTGTTGGCGGTGCTTAGTCTCCCCCGACAAGCGCCGCACTATCTGACTGTGGACTGTCACTACTGTCGTCTGTGAGGTGGGAACTTTATGGAGAACACTATGAGCCGGCCTTCCATCTTGGGCCTTTGGGGTACGTTGCTAGTTCTCTTCGGTTGTCTTTTTAGCCTCTTCGACCTCCCGGTTTTTTCGAAACTTTTCAGGTTGTGCTTGATTCCCTTTCCTTGTTTCTTCTGACTTCCTTTTCGTTTGTCTCTGTTGCTTCAGCTGCAGTCAAGACATTTCTTTCACTTTACCGACTCTTCTTGGGTTTCCTGCAAGGGATAACACATGCCTACGTATACTGTTCAATCATGAAAGTAAATGGCTGGATAGATAGAGAATAGAAAAGAGAGGAGACGATGAATGCGGTCAAAAGGTACTTCCAGATACATACCTACCTCTCTCGCTCTCTCCCCCGGCCAAAAAAGTTCAATAGCTTGCGGATGAGCCGGACGATGCAGCACGTCAAGGTTCCTTGATCCGCCTTTGGGGCTCAGAGAGGTTGACCGTCGACTCGTCGAGAGACACACAGAAAATCCAAGCCCTTGGCCTGCCAAGACGAGCCAGCATCCGGGCTCTGCGGGCTTAGGGTCTTGGTATTTTGTGCTCTTTTGGACGGGATCGATGGGATGCGTTGCTGCGTGCATCGGCATCTGCTCATTCTTAGTCTCTTTTCCCCATCCCCCCCCCCCCAGCCCAGCCCAGCCCAGCCATTTTCCGACTCGGTCCTCGAGACTGTGTGTGCCCTGAGTGGTCTCGTCGTAAACACTTGTCTGGCGCCTAGGTACGACAAGCTGAGCCGCAAAAAAAAAAAAAAAAAAAAAGGATGTAACAGAGGGCGCAAAAGCGTGTAAGACGAGAAGTCTCGAATCGAACCAAACGACCGGCGCCGGCGCAATGGGAAGTGGCTTCGGCGCTACTCCATACTCCCTCCGTACTCCGTACACAACAGCGAGTTATTACCAACTCACTAGTTCGACAACTCGCGAGCAACTGGACAGCGGTTGCAGTTGTCGATACCTTAGCTCGTCGAGAAAAAAAGTGCCAGGGTACGGCGGTCCGTAGGTCTAGCGTACCGCTGTTGTTCCCAAGCAGGGGTAATGGGGTGGGTGGACGCGCAACGCCTTCCCTCTCACCCACACAACTTCGCAAGTGGACAAGACTCTACGTAGAGAGAAAGAGATCGGGTGGATGAGGCGATCGCCTGGCTGAGGACCGACCGGAGCACTGCATGCAGATGGGGGAGGTGGGCGGTTCCAAACGAAATAAATGCGAGGTCGGGACGCCTAGCTTGCAACTCGCAACTCCTTGGCTAACCAGTCGACCCGTACGAGTGAATAAGGTAAGGCGCACTAGTAGCGGACTAGGGATCTGACAGCGCAGGCGCCGGTGTATTCGTGATCCGTGCCGGGGCAGGCTGTTGGGGTTGGGGTGGTGGTCTAGACAAGAGGTATGTATTATCCGTGAGATATCTCGGGACAATGTATCCGTTCTTTTCGATGCGGTGTGAAAGTTGTCAAGTTCGAGGTGAGAGATATCCCGTAGTCCTTTGTTCCGACACCCCTGTTTGCGTCTACTGGACTATTCTCAACTGTTCTGTTTGTGTATTTTCCTTCTTTCGTATAGATAAACCTCGTTTCCCAGTGTCTCATCTTAACTCTTTGCTCGTAGAGGCAAGGAGTTTGGTTCTTCGACGGTCTACCACAGTATGATGCGCCGTTGTAGGGGGCAAGAAAAGAGCCCGGGAGATGCGCCACCTGCCCAATCCACGAGTCCACACCAGATCCTCCCCCTGGGCCACACACCGTGGCTCTTGCGCGTGGGCTGGGGCTACTTGGGACGGATTAAGGCACCACCTGACCGTCTTGTTCCAGAACGTGGAGGGCTTCAGGTTTTGGAAAAAAGAGGCTGGGTTAGGTTTTGGGGGCCAAAAGGGGGGGATGAACCGAAACGGACAGACCTACGCAGTATGGTTCAGGTTCTTTCTGCTCACTGGTTTCTTCAACTGTCTCTATTCTGAAGATATCATATGTTCGGTGCAAATCATTGCCGAACGCTTTCTGTTAGGAAGCTCTGCTTCTGCTCACTTGCTTGTAGGCTGTAGCTAGGAAGCAGGGCTGGGCGTCTAGGCTAAAACCCCGTGCATCCCGAAGTAAAGTCGCAACTTGTACATACATAGAGACAGACGGAGCTAGTCTAATCATGGAGTTTCTGATTCACCTACCGCACTTGTCTTGAGTCCCGCGTGGCTGTGCAAAGAGAAAAAAAAGTCAAGTGGTTGGAGATTTGGAGAACCAGTGCTCTCCGTAACCAGTAGCCGTAGCCCATCTCTCTTTCGGACGGAGGATTGCAAGTCATGCGGTGCCCGCAGAAAGCGATCGGGGTTGTCGGGTGTCACGTTCGCGAGAGAGAGCATTGTTGTTTGGGCCCCCAAGTTGAGTTGTCAGATGCCCGCCCGCCGCCCGCCGTCGCCGCCGCTATTCTTCACAAAGTGACAGAACCACCCGGTTCGGCCGTCACCACAAGAGTAATGTCCGCTTCGGTCTCGGTTCTTGTGTCGCTCGCCCTTGCGAGTTCCGTTGGAGATTTGACATGATATCTCTGCCTCGCGGCCTGCCTCGCACCGCTACGTATGCCTTTTTCAGAATCGAATTCCGCGTGTCCATGACAGTCAATGGTGGTCATGGAATTACGAGCAGGGTTATTGTAATGTGGGCAAAGTACTCCGTAGGGAGACATGTTCCAAACAGCTGCAATCAGCCAGTGTCGCGGGAGGGAGAGTGTACCTACGCTTGCTGGCTTGGCGATCCGTCCTGACCACCCAGTCGCGACTCGCCATAAGTCCATACTAGAACATCACTTTCTAACAAGGAACATCTTATCGTCATCACAAGGTCCTACTCGATCTTCCAGTGTCGGCCGGGAACTGTGTTTCAGTTCTTACAAGTAAGGTTGGCTTCTCTCTAGACTCCATGATCTTTTAGTTACGGAAGGGAATCTAATAGTCTTCCAAAGCTACAGCGTCTTTCCCCGGCCCGATGAACCACGTGTGGTTAGGTACTTGAGGTACCTTATCCGACAAAGCTCCTCCTTCCCTGTATCGTCTAGTGCTTAGGTCGATACAGATATCTACTTATGCCTAGTATCTTCCTCTATAGCTAAACTCCCTGGCTATCGGTGACCTCAAGCATTAGAGTGCCATTTTGCCGGAGATCTTGGTTCAAGGTTGGTTCTTGATCCCGATTACAAGACACTTCAATACGGCCTCATGGCCATCTGTAACCTTGAGTTTACCGCTCTTGTCCTCACTTCTCAGAGGTCCGCGTCCCACTAGCAAGACATACCCAATACCGTCCGTCTGTGAGACGTACAACACGGCGGCAATTGTAAAGTAAGAAAGTATCCAAGGAACTCCAGTGCCGACTTGGCTCCTGGGCTTTTCTGCCACCTCTTCCGTGGTTGTTCAGGAACCCCAGCTGAGGGTCAGTAACCCAAAGGAATCGACTAAGCCGTGGACCACGATCGCAGGGACCCCAAGTGACCCTATTCAATCTCGGAGCGAGAACGCAGCGAGCCCGCTTGCCAACACGTATTTCCGGGGCAGATTTTGTCCAGCATGGCATGATTTCGCCGACTTTGATGCGCCTGCCTCATTGAGTTGCTGGCGCCAAAGGAGACAAACTGGGTCCTCCCAGGGCGGGTCGAGTACTCCGAAGAGCTGGGGCATCAACATCCATTATCCATACGTGTGTATCCGTACGGAGTAGAAGAGGGGGTCTCCCAAGGGTTCGAAGAGGGGCCGTTGACGCCGGCCGTGATCCCCCTGTTTCTCTTGATTGTTCTTCTCTCTAATCGTACGGGTACGGGACACAGACTTACAGCGTATCCGTACGAACAGTCAGCGACATAGCTGCGGCGGCCGGCCATTCGTTTGGTTGGAGGGGAGGGCTTGCTGCCGCCGTTTACACTGCCTTCCGGTGAGATCTGCCGTCAGAATTGTGTCCGATGTGAAACCGCCAGACCGGGCGTTCTCTCCCCCCGTCATCGCTGGTAGGTATGCATTGATAGGTTCCTCCAAACCAGAACGCAAGGATGTTGTACTGCTCTGTGCATCATCTGTACGAATTCAAAGCATAAAGTTAGGCACGAAGACATCGGACGAGTGGCTCCATCTCTCTCTCCCACGCATCCAGCCCACGTACGTAGTCATTGACTTGTTGGTCGATGTCGACCGCTTTCTGAGACTCCTCCGCCGCGCGCTGCCCGCTTCCTGACCGCCGTCGCAAAGTTCACGCAGGTATTCCGAAAACGCGGACATTGAAGGAAATCGAACTGAAGGGTCCATACGAGGGCCCCTGTGTTCCCGCATGCGTCAATATTCTGCCCCCCTCTTCTGGGATCCATTGTCATGCGGCCGGGGCAAGGGTTGTTGTCCCACCCCGAGCAGTCGAATTTCGACCCCTCCGCTGAAAGGCGGCAAGGCGAACTCGGAATCCGCACAAAAAGTCCAGAGTGGTGAAAGATGAGCCTAGGTGTATGGAGTAGTGGTAGGACATTTACATTGGCAAAGCCAACCGGAAGGCGAGTATCATACGTCGGGCCCTTGGCAAACAGCAACTGGCTGTGGAATTGCGAAAACGAATCGAATTAGGTATCTGAGGGTATCTTGTATTTTCTGGGCTTCTCCACGAAAGCGCTTACCCTTCACAACTCCGCCCTGTTGAATAGGGCTTTTCTGATCCAATCACGTCGGAGACCGAAGCTCGAGACGAAGCAAAAATACGGCGGGAAACGAAATTCCCAGCCTCCGCCTACACTGGGTTATTACTGTGTCGATGAGCTAAAGCAATGCAACGTCCAGGGCTCAGTCACCACCTATCGAGTCTGGCTCCTCCGAGCTCTACCCGTGCCGTACAAATGGTGAACGGCACAGATACGACAGGCTGGCGATGAACGAACTGCGCTGACGTAAGAGTCCAGTTCTCCGGTTAGCTTGGCGCCAAATGAGACAACTCCCGGCCTAAGGGACGGGTTCGTTGGCGGCTCGGGCAGATCCTTCCTCGACGCGCGTTGATCGACTGTGGGCAGTGACAACACTATGAAAAGATTATTGAAGCAAATCAAGGCGTGCTCACCTCACTGACAACGTATGCTCATTACACTCGATAGTCCCGGCCTCCCGATTGCTGAGTGAGCGCACCTTACCATCTTTACCTGTTGGTGTCAATACTTTGCGTCAGCCCCGTTACGTCATGTCCGGTGAACCGTGAGCCGTGAACGGGGGGGCTCCAAGCCTATCCCTACCGATCTACGAAATTCACAGACCGTGCTGAGTTGGGATACGCGGTTCACGAGAAAGGCTGGTCTGGACTCTTGGATGCGTGAGTACCGAGCAGATATCTTGCAAGGGCGAGACATGGTAGATGATGTCCATAGTTAATTGCAGGCCTGATGGCTCTAGCTGAGTGTCTCGGGCGTCGCGGTTCACTCTCTACAGTCTTAGACACAAGTAGGGAGGCAGTGGCGCGAAGAGTACAGACTTTCAAAAGACCAAACGGTTCGTCAGAAGAAGGCAATCCGAACTGTTGTCAGTCTTGTGCGTGTATGTTTGGTTCCTTGGCATTTGTGTGGTTCGGAGGTTATTGTTAGAAAAGATCGGCAATGGCTGCAAACTTCTAGAATCACAGCCTCTTGAACCTGCACAACCTGCCTGCTTACTTTCTCGTATATATTACGAAAGATCCTGTTCCCCTCACGCAACGAATGACTACTCGATTTCGGCATGCTCAATGGACGCAGCAGGCTTCGAGTGTGACGCAGATTGCTCCAATGCCATGCTTCCATCCTGTTCCAGGCCACCAGCCATGGTGTTTATTTTAGCTATGTTACACCCGCAGAGGCTGCAGCTGAGCGACGGCCACCTCGACCGGGCCAAGCTATTGTCGATCCCGAATGTCGATCTGTTGATGACAGAGGAGCCTCAGAGCCTGTTTCCAGGTTTTTGCATCGGTGGACCGTACCGAGGCGGAAGTTTGCCTTTTCAAAGTTCAGGGGACTGGACGTGCATCGCGCTCCTCTCTAATCGGAAATGCCGACGGAGACGAGTGAGAGCGATATGAGGTTATAGGGAAGGGGATATTACTCCGTATCCTGTTAATGATCAAGATACGGAACGGCTAAGATTTTCTTACGACATGCCAATGCCGGCGTGCTCGGCTTTTACATGGAACAATTTCTGCAGTTGCATCGATTGCCACTTATCAGCCCCATCAGGAGCCCGCCACGCTACACTCCCTTTAAGAGTTTTCTGTCAGAAAATTTTCAGATCTGTTTGTAGTTTGTTTGTGTGCTGCTTGCTTTCCTGGTGTTGTGAAGGGTGATGCTAGTGAAGGAATTTTTTATTCAAAATGCGGTCAATGTGGGACAGGGGAGCTCCTAGTTGTGACAACTTCATTTACAGAAACAGCATGTTGTGGCTCAACCAATGCTCCTACTTACAGAGTGTTGACCTAAATGTTGGGCTTCTTGGTGACAAAAAGGAGAGGTGGGGGGTGTTTTGACTGTGCTTACCTAAGTTCAGAGTTTTTGCACCTACCTACCCAGCCGTGCCAGCCCTCTAAGGCCGCCTAGAGCTCCTAACTCCCAGCTACGACTCTGCAGCCCAGTGCCCAATGCACCGGCCTGGGACCAAAACGCGCCTGCACGTGTAGCGCCCCAATTTAACCCCCGGTTCGGAGAGCCCCCAACCAACACATCGAAGCCCACCCCCCGGCCATGCCCAGCACTCCTGCGGCACCCTTCCAGCGCCAAAAGATAACGGCAACAGGCCCAGCGATTTCGTCTCGTTGCGATCCAACATCGCAAAAGGCGCCTTGTCTGCCTCACACGTGGGAATGAGGAGGTTACCCGGGCCCTTGTTGGCGATTCCCCCCTTCAAAGCGCGGCCGCCGAGAGTGCCTCAGGGCGCATCTCCAGCATCATGGCCGCAGCGATACCGACCTAGCAGGGCGGCTTGCCTGTCGACGGCGACGACGACAACATCAACAACAACGCCGCCGCTGTCGCAAGCAAATTCTTCCGAGCAGAAATCACCACCACAGACGCAGCAACCGTTCCGCTTCGAGACCGGCGTCTCCCTCTTCGCCAAGCGAGCGCCGCGACCGTTCCCGCCGCCCTTCCTCTCCCCTCCGTCGGGCTCGTTTTCCGATCCGCTCAGTACCCATCACCGAAGCCGCGATCGGCGCGCGAGAGTAGACGGGCAGATCATTCTCGGACAGACAAACGGAGACGATGCGGTGTTTGCCAGCGACAACTTCATTTGTGCGAACGATGGTGTCGGTGCTTGGTCAACACGCCCGAGGGGCCATGCTGGGTGGGTGCTCTATATTCCCCCTCCCCCTTTCCGTTGATCGGATGTCCCAATATTGATGTCGGAGTAATAGCCTCTGGTCTCGCTTGATTCTACATTACTGGGCGACAGCTATTCAGCAAGAGTCCACCAACCCTCGCGCCGCGGGCGACGTCTACAAGCCCGACCCGGTAGCCTATCTCCAGACGGCGTATGAGCAGACCCTGAAAGCGACTTCGGACCCGAACGACTGGCAAGGCACCACGACGGCGAGCGGAGCGCTGCTGCACTACAAGACCCTGCAAGGAGGCAGCGAGAAGGTGCCCCAGGTCTACGTCACCAATCTCGGCGACTGCCAAGTCATGATCCTCCGACCCAGGCACGAGAAGGTCATCTACAAAACCAAGGAACAGTGGCACTGGTTCGACTGCCCCCGCCAGCTGGGCACCAACAGCCCCGACACCCCCAACACGGAAGCCGTATTGGACATTGTGGAGATACAGGTCGGGGACGTGGTCCTCGCCATGTCGGACGGCGTCATCGACAACCTGTGGGAGCACGAGATTGTCGACAGCATTCAGAAGAGCATAGAACGCTGGGAGAATGGGGAGTGCGGGGGCGACAGAGTCGAGGGCGACCGGACGGGGGGCGCAAACGGGGGCATGAAGCTCGCTGCCGAGGAGTTGGTCGCGGCCGCGAAGAAGATTGCGACGGATCCATTCGCGGAAAGCCCGTTTATGGAGCATGCCATTGAGGAAGGGCTACCAAGCGTTGGAGGTAAGTTATCGGCTCCGCCAGGCCGTGATATTTCACTGAGGCTAACAAAGGAAACAGGCAAACTCGATGACATCAGCGTCGTAGCTGCGCTCGTGAGGAAACAGGATGCATGATGATGAGGAGGGCGATATCACGAAATAGGGCAATCATGGGACATAGAATTTACGGAAAAGGTCCCGCAGGGGCAGGCTGCAATCATTATGGCATACATACGCCTTACCCGAGTCGGGATGACAGTGGCCATCTTTTGGGAGGTACTTGGCGTTTAATTGGCTTTTGATATTCACAGGAATCCATGGATAGTGCAAAGTTTGCCGCTAATTGAACACATATCACCAACATCTGGCGATTTCTCGGATGGAAGCGTTTGCGATGCTCGTTTCTGTAAAAGAAAATCCATGATACCTTTCCTCAAGTGACGTTGCGCACGGTCGTGGCCGGACCATGGTGGGGTTAGATCGGCCTTCATGGGCCAGACCTCTTATCTTATCGCAATTTTTCCAGCAAGAAATTTCGCGACTTCAACGCAAACATCTGCCTCCACCACCGTCTTTGCTGCGTTAATCAGATCAAACCACCTCCCGTTCGACGGCAAGGGCATTTTCCCCTCGCCACCCATACTTTCACAATGCGCGGAAAACGTAGCAAACAGTATCGCAAGCTGATGAACCAGTACCAACTGACATGGGGATTCCGCGAACCGTACCAATGTCTAGTCGACGCTGAAATGGTGGTCGACTGCCACAACTTCAGATACGACCTGCTCGCCGGACTGGAGCGCACGCTGCACGGCAAGGTCAAGCCAAGTGAGTATACAGCACGCCGACGATTAGACATCAGGAAGGAAGACGAGTGCTTCGAAGGCTGACTATTTGACGCACACAGTGATCACACAATGCGAGATCCGCAAGCTGTACCTGCGCAAGAACGAGCCCGACATGAACAAAATCATCGACTTTGCAAAGACGCTCGAGCGGAGACGCTGCGGCCACTTGCCCGAGGACTACCCGGAACCCCTAAGCACGATGGAATGCATGAAGGCCGTCGTCGACCCCAAGAGCAACCTCGTCAACAAGCACCGCTACTGCGTCGCGAGCCAGTCAGGCGACGTGCGCCGCATGCTTCGCGAGATCCCGGGTGTCCCGCAGATTTACATTAAGCGATCGGTCATGATCCTCGAGCCCATGGCGACGGAGAGCGTGGCGATCAGGACCAAGGAGGAGAAGAGCAAGTTCCGCGACGGGCTCGTCAGGCCCGAGAGGAAGAGGAAGCGCGAGGAGGAGGATGAGGACGACGACGATGAAAGCGAAAAGGAGGGCAAGTCCGGAGGAGGAGGAGTTGCTCAAGAGCAGAAGAAGAAAGATAAGAAGAGGGGACGCAAGGGACCGAACCCCTTGGCGGTCAAGAAGGCGAAGAAGGCCACGAGCGGCGGCGACACGGCGCACAAGGAAGCAAAGGAAGCGCGGGCCGCCGCAGATGGAGGCGAGGGAGAGGGAGAAGGCCCGGCGAAGAAGAAGCGCAGAAGACGGAACAAGGGCCAGGCCGCTGGCGATGCGGCGAACTCGTCGAGTACGCCTGCCGCGAACCAGGGCGAGGCGTCGACGGAGCAAGCGGCGGAAAGCTCGTAGGGATTCGATATTGCATACCAAAAGGGCGTTTTCGGGTGGGGGCTTATTAAAATGATTGGAATGTAAAAGGTACAACAAAAGCTCAGAGATACCAATTTAATGGGGAATTCTTGCCACAGCGAGGTACACCGTACGGGAGGATCGTCGAGTGAATGTGTTTCTGAATCGTCT